TCTATTTATCCTTACACACTACAGTTAAAACAAGAGGAAAGATATATCAAATGTGTTAATACAGTCCTGCTGAAAACATTTTCTGATTGGGTAATCCTCTCTTATTGGCATAATTAAAGCGTGTTATGTAAGATAACTGCATTCAATCACAATAATGCCTTAAAATTCAGCTATCTCTGTTTTCACCATCTACCCTTTTCTGACTCTAGAGTGACTTGTGTTATGGAACTGAATTGTGTTGAAACTTCATCCTCAAAATTGGTGACATAGGGCAATGTGAATTTGCAGAGTCTAATCCTTTTCCTTTTATCATATGCACATTTCTGTAGTTATAGTGCAAAAGGGCGAGGTTGGAAGCTTAGTCACAGAGGTTAGCCTCGATGTACGACAGAAGGAAAGAGGACAGATCTAACTCCAGGTTTCTTATTAAAGGTTTCAAAACGGATGGACGGTGCTAAGTATCTTCAGCACTCACTGAGTACACATTAACATAGCTGCCTGGGCTGAAGCAAAAATAGATTTGTCATTGCCATTAAATTCTAGAAAGGGCATCAAGCTCTCTAGCTGTTAGGGACATCGCTCATTGCCAAATCTCAGTGAAAGATAATCCAAAAGCATTGTCATTTCCTAAAATAAATCTCTGCATCTCCAAAAGGGATTTCTCTTATTTTTAGAAAACTTCTGTGGAGCAGAGAAGCCGCAAGATGATCTTTTGCAGAGAAATATGTATTTTTATGCCATGGTAAGTGATGAGCTGACATTAGATTCCTGCACATTTTCAACATAGAAGACAGTGAGCAGTGAGGATCTGAAATTCTGGTTCTTTTCTCTGCCCTGGAGCTTAAATAGTGGTTAGGACGGAATCATTCATCAAGCACTTTCTCATGCATTATCTAAGATAGTTGGAGATAGACTATTACAGGGTAATTGTCACCCTGAGACTGATAGCACGTTGGTTCTCTCACCCTCTATTTCATCATCTTTGAGATAACTGCACCATAAACAGATGTGGGATGACTAAAGTTTGCCTCTGTGTCTACTACTAATCTTTCCCTTGCCTTTCCATTCCCTTCTCCCATTTTGACACAGAAGTCCTTGTCTCATTTGGGCTTGGTAGCTCTGAGTGTCATCACTGTTGTATTTAATGAACTTTACACGAAAGGAGCCATTATAGCCCTGGAAAAGCTTTAACATTGCTTTGCTGTGATGGAAATAATACAACACAATTTTAAATATGCTTTCCCACACAAGTTACACTTTAAAGCATTGTCATGGAAAATAATAGCACTATATAATTTTTTAAACACCAGAGTTCACTCAGCATGATTGGGATTTTTAAAAAAGGCAAACAATTTAAACGAGAAAGGGTCAAAAGATCATATACTTGCATTGAAAGTACTAATAAGTAGGATGCACATGAATATTATTGTTCCTACTAGATATTCTTTTTACTTTAAAAGGATTGTCAAAAAATTTAACATACAATTAAGTAGGATTAAATACTTTAAACATATTTAAAATGACATTAAAATGCAGGGCTTGTTACAGTTATTAAAACAAAGGGATTTGAAATTGTACAATCGTTAAATTTTCATGTGGCATAAGATGTTACCAGATGAAATGCCATTCACCTCCCTAATATTCACTCGGTAAAAGTTAGTAGATGTGTGTATTTCTGAAGTTACAGTGAATTTCAACATTAGTTTTATTTTGTTTTGTTTTAACCTGGCCCAAAGCCAACCTCATTTTTCCTTTCCTCCAACTATCTAAATTATCTTTTCAAGTCTGGTTAAACCTCAGATATTCCATGGTGCAAAATATCCCAGGATCCCTTAGCTATAAACTCTCTAAGGAATAAAAACGGGAAATGAAATATTTTGCAAAATGGAACTTACTCCTTTGCAGAAACAGAATGGCAACATAAGTTTCTCAGGATGAATGTATCTAGGCTGCAGAAAAAATATCCAAATTTCAGTGGCTTCAGCCACAAAGGTTTTTTCTTGCTTACACTGTGTATACCTTCTAAGTTATCTGGGACTCTGTTTGGTGTCATCTTAACTCTGAGACCAGCCGGAGGGAGCAGCCTCTATGAGGGATGTTGAGAAAGTGCTGGTGACAGATGGTGTGGCTCTGAAGTAGCCTGTGACATGTCTCCTCACAGCTCATGAAGGGTCAAAGTGCAGTCCTACCATGTGTCTGAGCAGCAGAATAAGCTGGAAACTTTTAGCAGACAGTGTGGTGATGCCCAGAGAATAGTAAACCAACAGATAACCACAGAACCATGTGCCTTTTACCCCCTAAATGTGACACATTAACTCTTTGTTAATTTTAGCTCTATTTTAATTATCTGTACACTTGGATTACCTTTTTCACTCCAGAATGTCTCATGTCAATACATTAGCTCATAGATTCATCCATGGGTTTTACAAACCATACTCCTGTGTCCCTTGCTAGAAAAATCAAGGTAGTCAGTTGTGTTCGTTACTTCCATATCCATCTATTTTTGCAACACCACTATCTAATAGCTATTGCTACATATGGTGGCACAGGTTGTGCACTGTGCAAATTTAGAAAATGTTCTTCTGACTGCAGATTATGTTAATGTTGCCTCCTGGAGTTGTGCAGTACACAGCATGCACAGTCATATATGAAGGTCATGACTCTATCCATTTCCTTTTTTTATTAACCAAAAGATCATTCCATAAATCTAAGCATAAAGCAATTTATGTACTATATTTTGTGCCTGAATCCTCATATGTAAGAGGACACTAATAACAGCTATCTGGTTGGGTGCAGTGGCTCACACCTATAATTCCAGCACTTTGGGAGACCGAGATGGGCAGATCACGAGGTCAAGAGATCGAGACCATCCTGGCCAACCCGGTGAAACCCCATTTCTACTAAAAATACAAAAATTAACTGGGCGTGGTGGCACACACCTGAAGTCTCAGCTACTCGGGTGGTTGAGGCAGATGAATCGCTTGAACCTGGGAGGTGGAGGTTGCAGTGAGCCAAGATTGTGCCACTGTATTCCAGCCTGGGCGACAGAGCAAGACTCTACTCAAAAAATAAAAATAAAAAATAACATCTATCTGACAGATGTACAGTGAAGATTAGATAGACAAATCCACTAAAGCACTTAAAATCATGTCTGGGATCCATGAGACTCATCAAACACCATCCCATATCCACACCTGCAACACCTGCATGTGGCCCCCAGACACTGCCTTATTCTTCACTTCAGTGAGATGGGATGTGCTGCAGAGCTCCCTTTGTCTCTGCCTCTGATGTGACAATGTGAAGAGCTCTCCCTGATACAAGCTCTAATGGATGACCTGTCTGATCCGGCTTTTTCTTAGCAGTTACTGACCCGATGCATTTCCCTTGTCTGATAAAATGCCACCAGTGCTGCCAGTATCCTTTCCTGAATTATTTCAAGCTTGGCTTTTCCCAGCCTCTTCCTATAGTATTTGTCACCTTCATGCACATCAGCCTGAGAGGCACTAGACAAGGGTACTTTCAAACCTTGCTGCAGAATGCCTTCAGATTTTAACATAGGGCCTACACTTTGCATTAATGGCATAGTTTACAACCTGACTTTGAAAGAAAAGCACAAGATGCAAGAGTCTCATGAACTAATTGGAAATATTAAACATGAGTTGCATGGTATTATTTCAAAGGTTGCTGAAATAGCTTGGCTTTAAATATGTCATTGTTTAATCTTTTCCTAATACTAAGATCTGATCAAAAAAACTAAAATATTGCATCTACTAGAGTACTGTACGGGCACTATTTTAAAAGTATTTCAAAAGTGACAAAGTTTATAGGGAATTCAAATATTATAAAAACATATTGATTGGAAAATTTAAAATTTTCAAATGCCATTAAAAAATAATGTTATCCCTCCATATGTGTAATATATTGTGAAATCTATTATCCTCATAGAATTCAGTGAAACAAAATGGAATATTTCAAAAAGAACCTGAATATTTAAGTAATAATAACAATAATTATGTTTGTTATACAAATCAATCAACTTTTTTTTCACTCATTTATAGTAGAATTGCAGAATCACTAATAATCTAATCAACTCTGGGCCATGAAAAATTGATGGTAGACTCCACTATATTTTTATCTTTAAGTTTATCTGACTTCCACCTTCATATGGCTGATAGTTTTTGAAGAATTAATGCACATGATTTCTATTTATAACAGTACCAGTAAATCAAAGCATCTTTTTGAAATCCAAAGAACTATTATAAAATGTTTGCAGCGTGCACTGTGCACCTGGAAAAGGTGCAGACAATCCACACCAGCCCATGAAAGCATCCAGGGGGAAGGTTGTGCCCTGCAAAGCCACAGGGGCAGAGCTACCCAAGGTTGTGGGAGCCCACCTCTTGTGTCAGCACAACCTGGATATTAGACATGGAATCAAAGGAGATGATTTTGGAACTTTAAGATTTAATGACTGCCCTACTGGATTTCAGACTTGTATGGGGCCGGTAACCCCCTTTTTTGACCAATTTATCCCATTTGTAATGGGTGTGTATTTACCCAATGTCTGTCTCCCCATTGTATGTGTGAAGTAACTAACTTGCTTTTGATTTCACAGGCTCATAGGCAGAGGGAACTTGCCTTGTCTCTGATGAGACTTTGGACTTGGACTTTTGAGTTAATGCTGGAATGAGTTAAGACTTTGGGGGACTATTGAGAAGGCACGATTGTGTTTTGAAATGTGAGGACATGAGACCTGGGAGGGGCCAGGGCAGAATAATATAGTTTGGTTGTGTCCCCAACCAAATCTCATCTCGAATTGTAGTTCCCATAATCCCTCCTATATGGTAGGTACATGAAGTTATTAGAAAACTGATACATAGTTACATGGCAATGTTTCCCCTTCAGGAAGATGTGGGTAGTTTTTAAGCTGCTTGCATTCTAATTAGGAAAGCTGATGTTTCCTTTATTGGAAAGGCTCCCATTAAATACCTGACAAAGTAAAATATTGGTACATTACAATTACTTTATTCAGAGTCTACTACACAAAGATATGGTACGAAGTAACATTGGCTTGAGTGATCTCTGGCAACACAGAACAGGTTCACGGTGTCAGAAAACAAGAATGCTCAGTCTCAGAAAGCTGAGTTCTAAAGACCCTGCAGAGTCACGCTGTCCCAACAGGTTTTGAGTTGTCATGGATGACATCAAAGGAAAAAAATTTACAATGCTACCTATTGAAGCACAGTAAAAAAGACTTTATTCATGACCATCATGATGGGTACAGGGACCACAACAATGGGGACTTGTAGTAAAGGAGAAAGATGGGGCTCAGCTCTGAATACAGGATGGGAAAGTGGGGATTTACAGACAGGGAATGGGGTGAGGGGCAGTGGATGGAAGATTACCAAGAGGAAATATCAGGAGGTATTCAGATAAACTGACCTAACAGGATTCTAGCTGAAGGCAGGCCAGGTGACCAGACATCATCTTGGGGGTGGTGGAGGCTGTGGAGACTGATCAGAGACTGAGGAGGAACAGATATGACGGCTTGGGTGCTCTTGTTAAACGACTTAGATTTCTTGCCAAAACTGGATTTTATAAGGAAGTCCCCAGATTGGACCTGGGGAAAGGTTGAGGAGCTTGGCTAAAGTTTGGCCAAGTGGAGAATCTTTGTCCCTGAAGCCTGGGATGGATGTGAGGTCTGTAGAGGTCAAACAGCTACAATTTAAGAGGTTTTGAGCATTTGCATCACACATCACATTCTCTGGGTACTAAAGAGAAGGCAACAAGGCTTTAGCTTGTAGAGGCCTCCACGTGATGAGTATGTTTCCTCCTGTGCATGTTGGCTCCCTATGGCCATGCACTCGCCAGCAGCCTCTGTATGGACACCTTTTGTCGTTTTATTAGAATAGCTGGGTTGAATGAGAGCCAATCCTAGTCCCAATACCATGCCCTTCTCACTCCAACTTCTTACTGCCTCCGGGGTTTGTTCCAACACTGGTTTGGTTTTCCTAAGGAATCCAGTTGAAAGAAAGAGAAGAGGGTAATATTTTTCAAATCAAATTTGTGCTCCAGGTGTTTGCAGAGCAAAGCAGCTGTTTCACCAGTGTAGGGTCCCTTCCCCAGGACCCAGTAAGACTTTCATGGGCCATGAAGGCAAAACATATTAAATATACTTTAATATAAAAATATATTATATAAAAACATAAACCATATTAACATACTATTTTATAACTATGTTGGTGTATATGCCAATATGATTTCCAATCCCCAATGTTCATTTTGTTTTCTTCTGATTATAAAAGAAATTAAAGCATTTTTGTAGGCCCCTAGAAAGGCCTTACAGAGTATGCTAATGGGGAATAATCTGGCCTTTCCCCACTCTTGAATCATGGAGGTCAGGGCCATTTTATGTCTTATTCCTCTCTGCATTTCTCAGCCTCCTTCTTGAGCTAAGAAAGTTGATAAATCTTTGCAGAACTGGAACTTGTATTCTTCATCAGTTGACATTGAGCTGGAAATATAGTAAACATTCCCCACATTGTTGAATTCAATCACATTAGAAAGCATGGTATTAGTGCAAAGCATTTTTTTTTCTTTTTTAAAATAGCATTTTAGGTTTTGGGGTACATGTGAAGAACATGCAAGATAGTTGCATAGGTACACACGTGGCAGTGTGATGTGCTGCCTTCCTCCCCATCACCTACATCTGGCATTTCTCACCATGCTATCTCTCTCCAACTCCCCACCCCTACTGTTCCTCCCCTATTTCCCCCAAACAGACCCCAGTGTGTGATGCTTTCCTCCCTGTGTCCATATGTTCTCATTGTTCAACACCTGCCTATGAGGGAGAACATGTGGTGTTTAATTTTCTGTTCTTGTGCCAGTTTGCTGAGAATGATGGTTTCCAGGTTCATCCATGTCCCTACAAAGGACACAAACTCATCATTTTTGATGGCTGCATAATATTCCATGGTGTATGTGTGCCACATTTTCCCTGTCCAATCTATCATTGATGGGCATTTGGGTTGGTTCCAGGTCTTTGCTATTGTAAACTATAGTGCACAGCATTTTTAATTGCCAAGGAAATTTTTATTTTAAATTTGCATTAACATATTCTAAGTAATCCTTTCACCTAATACAATCAAATTCCTGTGAAAAGCCAAATACTTGTTTGTGTGTGTGTGTGTTTTACCCCTCCACTCTTCATTGTATGACCTTCAGAAAAATCAGAGAAGTAGGCTTCCATTTTTGAAAAAACAGGGCTTTCTTAGTCCCATAGATAGGTAGATTGCAATTTTGCTTTTCCTGAAGTATTGCTGACCTTCTAAAATGATGCCTATGTATACATCATTAATCTATTTGTTTAACTTTTAACATGAATGTAATGCTAGAAATATAATAATTCTTTAAAAGAATTTATTTAAAGCTTCAAAGCCCACTAAGGTTTGGATATACAACTCCAGAGGTAATATAAATGGGATGCTTTATAAACACGTAGCCATGACTTCCAGCTCTGCAAAAAGAAACGGACAAACAACAAAACTATGCCATAAAGAAGGTTTGTGAGGTTTCTCCTGGACAAAAGAATTCCAGTTTCCTGTTACACATTCAAATCAAAAGTTTTAGATGGTAAATGGTTTGGTATCTAAGATGATTGTGGTTACCACAAATCAACCTGATTTCTAAATGCCCTGAAATGTGATCTCAATTATTTAGAGGCACTTTTAAACTCAATACATTTGCATCTAGAGATATATTTCATCCTTCATATGCTGTTAACATTTTATAGATTAAATAGTTCTAGACACAAATAGCCATTCGTATAATCTATAAAGGCTCTTCAAGTTATTTAATCCTGCAGTATTCCCACATCATCAAGTATTTTCAGAAAGTCTTACTTGCATTGAATATGTTAGACTTTGAGAAAATATTGTCATCTTACAGCATAAGTTTATAACAGTGCCTTTAAATATTTTCCACATGATAGTTATCAGTAGCAATCCTAACATATCATCAGTAAGCTAGTACCCTCTCTAAGAAGAATGTTTTCTAAAGCAAAAAGACAAATTCTCCTGCAATTTCTGGAATGAAAAATCCATGTTAAAAGGAAGAATCCTTTTTACTTTTCAGCTTTTAACAACTCTGGGGTTACGTGATAGGAATCACTTCTTTCTCTTCTTTTCTTTTTTTTTTAAAGAGAAGCAAAATTAATGCCTGAAATAGAAGAACTTAGTAGGTAACTGGGGAAATGCTGTTGAATCCTCCAAGCCCAACAGTACCCCCTTCCTGCTCCAACTTCCCAGGGTTGGGGGTAGGGATAGAGAAATTATAGCCAACTTCCAGAAAGCCCGAGTCATGGCTAGCATTCTCTGCAAACCGTTGTGGGGGGTACAGGTGTTCCATTCACATGCACTGTCTTGGAATTGAGCAAACTCTGGGCAAATAGAAAGTGGTCAGACAAGTCCACAAAAGAGATGAATGCATAAACAGGTGGACGGCAGCTTCTCTTGATTTTGCCATAAAGGAATCCAATCACATCGTTGGGGAAAGTCTTGTATCTGAAGAAACGATTGCACTTTACATTCCACAAGAGCCTTTCCTCAGGATGGGCTGGTGGTTTACACTTTGAAACTCTCTCCAGCTATGCCACTATCAGGCCCTCTCCTAGGCGACCAGTTATGAGTTTTCCCTGACTTGTGGGGTTTGGGGAAAATAGGATGAAAGCAAAATTGTTCACCTCATTGTGAACTGGAAGCAATGAAACATCTCAGTCACAAAACTTGCATACACGACTACTCTCTGATGACTAACTTCTGCCTAAAACTAAAGGAAATCACGCTTATGTGTATAGATCATGCATTGCTTGTGAGTGATTATTGTTCCCCTCCAATTATCAGAAACTTTCTAGGCCAATGATTCTGAATTACATTAGAAGAGATTCCCTGAACCATAGCATCTCCACAGTGGGCTTTTAATTCAGAACTTCCATTCTCCCAAAGAAAACAGTGAAATCAAGAATAATAATACAAATTATGGAATGGAAATCAGTTCAGGAGAGATTTGCCTTGGGATTTTTGTTACTATAAAGTTTTGCAAAAAAAAAAATCATTGTGCAAACAAATCTATTTGTGAGCTTCTACTGTTTTTACTTAAATAGTAATAAGCTTCTAGGTCCCTATTTTAAAATCTTAACCCTCTTGAGGAAAGAAATATACTATATGTGTGCATGTGTATGTGTGTGTGTGTGTTTATGTATGCATGTGCATAACTATATATGATGAAGAGCATTTTATATGTGTTCTAACTATACCAGTAATAATGACTTCCCTTCTAATAACAAAAGTGGAACTTAATCTCATCTATTATTCCTAAAGAAGATCTTTCATTCACCTTAAAGTTACTTATAGTTAAATTATTAAACTCTCTTTTATTTGATTGCCTTTTGTATTAGGCTGAGGAATCATGGTGGTTATTGCATCACTTCAGATTATAGAGTAAATGATAGTGTATACTGTTGGCATACATATTTGCTGAGGGGTGAGTAAAGGTACCTCCTGCACCTTTCTGTTTTAAGATTGCCTTCTGCACCTTTTTGTCATCTGCCTGTGCTGGCATGCCTTGTAAATGCCCCTCTAGTCATTTTCTTTCCATGAGTCCAAGACTCTGGCCACAGAAGGCATAAACCTACCATCTTCCTCTCTGTATACTACAGATCTTATCCCCTTGCCACTCCAGTTGAGTAGCTATTGAGCTCTGGCCCAAGCCTTCAGTTAATAAAATGGAGAATGAGTCCAAATCCAAGGTGTGGGTGGAGTTAGCTTTCCCTAGTGCCACTCCCAGGTATGTGTTTATAATGAAGATGGTGAGCTTTGCCACATGCATCTGCCTGGTGACCAGGCACAGCTAGTGGCTCAGTCTTTTATCCTGTTTTTCTCTGTTGCATTGGCAAGATAGGCCGGAGGAGGGACAGCACAGCTGAAGCCAGGGCTTCCAAAGAAAGTTGTCCCATGAAAACTGGTTGGGCACCTCTGGCAGGGTCTTGGTGTGTCTGTCCGCAGCTTCCTGCATGACTTTGAGGATTTCATGGAACCGGGGCTCAGTGGCTGGAGTTACTGGGTTTCTCTCTCTTGGATCTTTGGAAATATCAAAGAGTAAAGGTGGGTCATGATGGGTGACATAATTCCCGGAACAGAAGCACACGTGTGTGGAAAAGCATCCGTTGGAACCCACAGGGTCAAACTTGGGGGTGAAGAGAAAGGCCTTCCAGATGGATGTGCCTGTGGTTTAAAAGGATGGAAATGGTATTAGGTATGAAGCATCCTTGCATGTACCGCAAGTGAAAAGTGATATGGAAATTATGCCACCATGTGCTTTAAGAAGGTGAAGACATCATAAGGCTGCAGGCACAGTGTTTATATGTATAGGAGAGATTACAAAGCCACATGTAGACACTCACACACACAGCCAGCAGGAATAGCCTTAAACTTGCTAGGACCTCAGTTAACAGTTTATGTTTTCAGTTTCCAGGAAGTCTAAAAAATGTTGAATCAAGAATTAAATGAACTTTGGGAGGCTGAGACAGATGGATCACGTGAGGTTAGGAGTTCGAGACAAGCCTGGCCAACATGGCGAAACCCTGTCTCTACTAAAAAACACAAAAAAATTAGCTGGGTGTTGTGGCAGGTCCCTGTAATCCCAGCTACTCAGAAGGCTGAGGCAGGAAAATCACTTGAGCCTGGGAGGCAGAGGTTACAGTGAGCTGAGATTCCGCCACTGCACTACAGCCTGTGTCACAGAACAAGTCTCTGTCTCAAAAAAAAAAAGAATTAAATGAGGGCCAGGTGTAGTGGCCCATGCTTATAATCTCAGAACTTTGGGAGGCCAACTTGGAAGAATCACTTGATCCTAGGGGTTCGAGACCAGCCTGGGCAACACAATGAAACCCCATCTCTATAAGAAATTTAAGAAAGAAAAAAGCAAGCTGAGTGTGGCGGCATGTGCCCGTAGTCCCCGCTACTCCAGAGGCTAAGACAGTAGGATTGTATGAGCCCAGGTGGTTGAAACTGCAGTGAACTATGCTCATGCCACTGCACTCCAGCCACACACACGCACAATAAATAGATATTAAAAGAAGAATTAAATAAGGCTAGAAGTGAGAGTGAGGAGAGATTACAAATGGGGAATGGAAATAATCTTTTGGGGACGAAGCAGATGTTCTGAAATTAGATTGCTCAACTCTATAAACTTACTAAAAATCTTTAAATTACAATATAACGATATACAATGTATATCTTTAAAAGCTGTTAGAAATTCCAAATTAGGGGAATTCATCAATGCCAGAATAGGATGGTTAGTTTTTAAAATGTAAGTTCTTTATTTCAATAAACTCCAAAATACTAAAATTGCTAAGAAAAACTGACTTACAAACAAATGAATAATTATGAAATAATTGATTCACTCCTATTTATTGGACAATGTTATTTTCTGAGGAGCTTCCTGCTCTCAAACACCTAAGAGAGGCCTAAACATGTTTCCTGGGTAGGAAAAATGTGGCAGATAAAAACAGAGAATTAAAATGTATGAACCGACTAGAATCAGGTGCAGAACATGAATGCCCTTACAGCTTTTACATAAAACCAAAGAGACATTCCTCCTAGGAAGCACCCCACCCATGTGGGAATCAACCTGATCATTTGTGTATATAATGACATTGATGTCTTTTGTAATTATAGACATTTCATGATCATCTGATCAAAATGCAAAATAGATTAATGCAATAGGTTTAAACCAACAGTCACTGTGTCTGTGTTGTCCCCAAATCACCCCTGACCTTGGACAAGGTTATTGATGGGAAAAGTCAGCCTGTTGGTGTGTGTGTGTGTGTGTGTGTGTGTGTGTGTGTGTGTGTGTGTGTTTTAAAGCTGAGAAAGACGGGGAAGCGAGGTGAATATGTTTAGATGAATATATTAAAGAAGATTCATAATGAGATGCCTGCAGTCTGTGGCATAGCTGACTCTGCGAGGCAGGACATGACATCTGTGCACTTAACATGGGCTCAGTGCACCTGCTTCAGAAAGATAAGGTCAAGCTGACACACAGACATGCCAGGCTGCAGGAAGAATTACGGGACTTGGTTACCATCTCCAGCAGAGTTTAAAAAGGCAGCAGGTAACCTTAAGATGCTTCCCATCCACTCCTCTCATCCCACACTTGCTTCCCGGGTATGAGAGATTTCCTTCAGAAGCCTTTTTGGAGACAGGCTGACAGAACCTGCTGTTTGCAGCCACTTAGAAACCTTCATCAGGGTCAGCCAAGAGAGAAAGTGGTTACACAGAGAAGTGAGCCAGGAAGCCCCTTTTGCTCAGGTTCCCAATGCCGCAAATCTAGAGGGCGTTTTGAACTTGACATTCGAGTCAAGCCTCTGTGTGTTTAAAACCCCAGGAGAATGCAGCCTCCCCGAATAAATTCATGTAAAGAGCCTATATTTTCCACTTGCTTTTGAAAGCCACTCACACAGATCCCTTCATTATCACCTGAGCGTGATCCTCCCCAGATGTGAGCTGAAAGATCAGATTGATGTCAGGCCCAGTCAACAGATGCAGGCACCCTGGCCCAGTGGCTGGGGGCAATGGGGTTGCTGGGTAGTTCAGATAAGAGTAGAAGAACTAAGAATTAATTATTCTGAAGGATTATTTAGCATGTTCTGGGGTTGCTTGCCTTTTTATCCTTTCATCTGGATTTTAAAAAACTTTTCATAAAAAGGTAGATTGCTTAGTCTTTGTGCTGTTTCTCTGGACCACTTTAGATTTACTCAAATGAGAGAAACAGAACTGCACATTTTATTGTACAGTGGCTCACAAGATAACAATCCCTACTTTGGGAGCTTGTTCTGTTACTCATTAGGAACCCAGAAATTGACATCTCCAAAGGTGTCATTTCAAAGATAAAAAGTACAACTCAGTCACTAGATAAAATAGAAGGCACCTGACATAGTCATCTTCTTTTGTTTAATTTGTATTTTTGATTTGTATTTTCTAGAGACAAGGTCTTTCATTTTCACTCAGGCTGGAGTGCAGGGGTACAATCATAGCTCACTTCAGTCTCAAACTCCTGGGCTCAAGCAATCCTCTTGCCTCAGCCTCCCAAGTAGCTGGGACCACAGGTGCATGCCACCATGCCCAGCTATATTTTAAAAATTTTTGTGGAGATGGGGTCTCTTCATGTTGCCCAGGCTAGTCTTGAACTCCTGGGCTCAGACAATCCTCCTATCTTGGCCTCCCAAAGCACTGGGATTACAGGTTTAAGCCACCATATCCAGCATCATCTTATATTTTTCGTAGGTATATTTAGTCCTGTATTCCAAAATTATTTTGATAACATACTTCATCTTGAATATCCTCATATACCAGAAAAATGTTAAATTTTTAAATATATGTTTATTCACTAATGTATTTTAAAAATTATTGGCTGGGCACAGTGGCTCAAGCCTGTAATCCCAGTTGGAGGCTGAGGCGGGCAGAGCACCTGAGGTCAGGAGTTCGAGACCAGCCTGCCCAACATGGAGAAACCCTGTCTGTACTAAAAATACAAAATTAGCCAGGCATGGTGGTGCATGCCTGTAATCCCAGCTACTCGAGAGGCTGAGGCAGGAGAATCACTTGAATCCAGAAGGCAGAGGTTGCAGTGAGCCAAGATTGTGCGATTGCACCACTCCAGTCTGGTAAACAAGAGAGAAACTCCGTCTCAAGAGAAAAATTATCATCTACTGCTCTGAAAAAAGATTGTTCCTCTCTCATGACTAAAACAGATAAATATTTTGACCAAACTGGGAACTGAGATTCATTTATAACTGAGATCCAATGACCTGGAAAAGGAATTGTTAAATTTGATATAAAGAATGCAGGGAAATTAAAGTGGACAGGTTTTTTAAAACTTGTTTAAGTAGTCTAAGTAGTGATGAGGACAATAATTCTACTGAGATTTTTAAAATCCTTACCCAAATTAAGAAAACAAATTGTCACACGTAATGGTCAAAGCTATCAATGACATATGACACAGTACTGTTATGTCACTGCACTGGTGAAACATATTTTATATAAAAGCACCACTACAAAATGTGACTCAACTCATGAGACAAGAAAGTTTATTGTCATTTGACAAAAAGGTAAATAGAATTTAAGTGAGAAAAACTTGATGCCTAAGCCAGAAACTGATTCAGCATCTTCCACATAGGATCCTAAAACAGCTATCTTATTAAAAATAAACTAAGCTATGAACAAAGGGAAATAAAGAGGTCTCTGAGATCCCTGGGATTTCCTGGGGACTACAGGGGCTTCTGACCCTGGAACAGGAAGAGATGTGATTTCTATTACTTGGTGTTACAGCAACTCAGCCACGGGAAGTGGGAGCCCTGCAAGGAAGTCCCCAAAACTGAGCACATGTGTTCCCAAGGACAAAAATAGAGAGAGTGCAAACGAGAACTTTCGTTACATCATAAAATTGTTTTAAAAATCAATATTAGTATCTAGCAGAATCTCCCTGTTAACCTCTTGGAGTCGGGTTGTGGCAGCCAGGTCTCACTACCACAGGCCTCTATGACATCTGTTTCAGCAGTGACTGAGTGATGAAGTTAAATATTAAAAGCTGATAGAGCCAGCACCTTATACAAAGTTTGGGATGTAACAAAAGCCCACCAAGAGTTTTGCCCAGGCCTCTCCTGGACCTTGAAGCATGCATGACAAGGTAAAAAAAGGAATTCTTAGCAGGACCCATTTAGAATTAAACAAGTTTTACTGGGAGTCTGAAGAAACTTCCCAGACCCCCACAAACAAGTTTTACTGGGGGTCTAAAAGAACTCCCCAAACCTCCATGATTTAGTAGGAGACAAGAAAAGGATAATCACCACAGAATCTGGACTCATCTAGATTAACTACATTTACTGAGGCTCCAGAGGAAGGTCTTCAGGACTCAGACCTTAGTCATAGACTAAATGAAGTTAATCACTTATCTCTTTAGATGAATGCACACTTACATGTAGACATATAGCTTAGAAGGTATACAAGCTCCAGAAAAGTGTAATTTTGAGTTGGTTTGGGCAATATTTTCCAGGCCTTCTCTCTACACCCAGTTACAGAAATATCTCTTCCTCCCCAGTTTGTCTGCATCTTGTTGTTGGGCTGTGAGAAATAGCAGCCTGACCCTAGGTTTGGTCCGGGAACAGGGTTAGGCTACATCACCTACAAATTCTAACATCATCCTCCTGAAAAGTGTCCTTGAA